GCACGCTCTGATTGGCCAAAAAAGTGTGGTTTATGAGAGTATAAACCATGGCTGAGCCTTATTTATTTGTTAAATAATATATATCTTTACTAAAGCATTTTGCCTTGACATTAAGTAATGTCTTTAAAAATGAAGATGCCATTCACTGAGAAGTTACGAAGTTACCATACATTGAGAGMTTTTTTAGCAGAATTGGAGAGTGTTTTTAGTTCATAACTTAATACACACCTGTACATTGAAATATCTCTTTTCCCAAGTAGATAGACAGGGAGACCTCCAGGCTGAAAGAMCAGAAAAGACCACAACTTTACAAATCACTACCTTTAAATAAGTTGTCATCTACTTTTAAATAAGTTGTCATCTCAAAGATCTTAATAATATTATCTAGACGTCCTTCAATAACTTTATATGAAGTAATCCACAGTATTCTATAACCAAACTTTCTAAAAATACGAACGACATTAAACGGTTTGCAAATCAAACTGTTTGTTGCCCTTGTTGTCAGTKATAAAGTTAGCAGTGCAGCCTCAATTTCCCAGCAGAACGTGCTAAAATCACTATATTATCAAAATATTTATATAACTAACATACCTTGAATAAGTTCTGAAGACGTCTTATCTTGCTAAGTTTGTCATAAATGCCTTCACCGGCGATATCTTGGTTGACTCTGTCGACATAAGCCTTCCTTACTCCCTCCATCTTGTATCTGCACTATGACCTAGTCCTCGCGCTACTTTGTCCAAAAAAACTGGGCTCAATACCACGTGATATTTTGGCGCGCCATTCGGGAAAACGTCAAGAGCAGAAAAACTGCAGAGATTGTTCAACAAAATTTGTCTACAAAATGAGCTTTCTTGAGTCTTTGAAGGAATATTTTCACACTGAAGACCTCTATGAAGTCCTTTCTCTACCCAAGACCGCTTCTGAGTCGGAAATTAAAAGAGCTTATCGTCGTCTTTCTCTCCAAGTTCACCCAGATCGAGCGAAAGAGCAGGACAAAGATTCCTGCACGGCGAAATTTCAGTGTCTCAGCAAAGTCTACACCGTTCTTTCCGATAAAGATAAGAGAGCRTTGTATGATGAGAGTGGAGAAATAGATGATGAAGTTGTACAGCAAGAAAGAGACTGGGATGCTTACTGGAGATTGCTGTTCAAAAAGATCTCGTTTGATGACATCAAAGAGTTTGAGAAKAAMTACAAAGGCTCGGAGGAAGAATTGAATGACTTGAAGTTAGCTTACGTGGATTATGAAGGCGACATGGAACAAATATTAGAAAATGTTATTTGTTGCTCTCATGAGGACGAGGAAAGATTTCGGGATATTCTTGAAGAATGTATCAGAACAAAGGAACTTCCTAAATATGACAATTTTGCATGCGAACCGAAAGCAAAGAGAAAGGCAAGAAAGAAAAAGGTCAGGAGAAATATAGCAAGCACAAAAATRWCTGCAATAAAAAAAAWWATAATAAAGTTTGGTACTGAATGATTGATGATGATGACAATGATGATGCCATGATGATAGTTAATGTATTTTATTATTATTGTATTCTTCTATGTTCAAGTGATTATGAACCTTAATACATTATAATTAGAGTATAAAAATCATTRTTTATTCTCCATTTTTTAACAACATCAAATGATTGTGTTCAACTATTGTGACTATTTTTTT